AAAAGGCAGCGGAAAGGGCCGCAAGGGAGGGGAGCTCCTCGACAATGACCTTACACTGTGGTTCAACCTTGGCTCTGCCTCGAAGCACGTCCTGTAGGGGCCTGGCGACAGCTTGCTCGGCATCGGCAAAGTGGTCACCGAAAGCTCTGGCTATCTCACCATGATCCGTGAGCTCTTGTCCATCGATATGTAGAACGATGGCTGCTCTAGCCGGTTTGTAGGTCCTACCCGCCTTAAGGACGGAACGGATCAGCGCGGCCAACTGTGTGGGACCTGCCGCCCGCGCCTGTTGAAAAGCACTGCGGGCGAAAGCGGCTGCATCAGACTTGAAAGCTCGGCGGAGAGCCGCCGTGACCTGCCGCATAGCCCGTTGGTGCCTGACGGCGTGTACCTGCGCTCGAAGACGCAAGGCCTCGAAACGCTGCCGCACTGGTCTCGATGTGTCAGCTGCCTGTCGTGGCCTCCATGCAGCGAGAACAATTGCAAGCAGATCTCTGTTATGAGCCGTCCAGCGGCGCCTGTGGATGCGCCGAAGCTCACGTCTTTGCCGAAGCAGGCTCCATGTGGGTGTAGTCAAAAAGGGACAACGTGGGCGCGCACGGGCAGCAGGGAAACACTCAGTAACAGCCTGCCTAAAATATGCATTGAGCAGCTCAAGGTGCTGGTCAATAGGCACGGACCATGGGATCAGAGGCACCTCTCGCATGATGCGACCTACCTCGGCTTGACCTAGTGGCGTGAGCATGCGTTCAATGTCGGGCCTGTGGCACCTGGGAGGCTGAGAGAGAAGGGTGACTCGGACTTCAGCAAGAAGCGGCCAATGATCAATGCCCGCATGCAAGTCAAGGAAGTCCACCGTGGATTGGCCTCCAAAACCATGCCCCCAAATGCCAGGGACTGCAACGAAATCCAAACAAGCCTCATATCCGTGCGGAGACAGCCAGGTCCGCAGGGGTCGCCCAGACTTATCCACAGTGCCTGAGTGGCACAGGTCAAAACCCCTGCAAAGTCTATCGAAATGCTGTGCATTGAGGTTGACCGGAAAAAGGTCGCCTCCTGACCCTGTAAACCTGGCATTGCAATCAAAAAGCAACACTGGAGCCATACCAGTGGGCAGTGCGGAAATGCGGGTCTCCACAAGGTCCCAAAAGTCCTGGATGGCCTCATCCGAAGACACAGAGGTGCGAGCGTGCCCCACCATGAAAGCAAGCTTTGCAGATCCCCAGTGTGCATACACTACCAAAAGGCGAGGGTGCGCAAAGGCAATTGCAAAGGATGTAGATTTCCAAGGCTGGTCGCCTCCGATCCTCACCCACAACTGACAACCCTCCTGGCCCTCTGGGGCTGGACCAGCCAGACGCAGAATCCCATCTTGTTGCGAAACAGTCTGCTCACAAAATCTGGACTCCTGCAAGCCCAAAATGTCAATGTGAAACTGTCTCATGGCTTCGGCGAGGCATCGCCGCTGGAGGGGCTTCTGTGCTGAAAGGGTATTATATGTGCACAGACGGATACGACACTCCGTTGACACCGAAAGGTCGGTAGCCTTATCAGCCGCAGGGGCCCATACACTGGGTGCCCGAGGGCTATCAGCGAGAGCCTGGGTCGGCATAGGCCAGGCCTCTCCATGTTCATCAAGTACGGGGAGGACTGCAGGGCTCGCCCCAGGGGCCCGCACCCAAAGCCAGTCCAGATCAAAGTGCAGGATGCTGTGCATGACTTGCTCTGCTCGTGAACACGGCCAAAGGTCGCCCCGAGAGACACTGGCCTTGGCAAGGCAATCGACCAGTTCATTGGCAGCGAAGCCCGAGTGCGCCTTGACATGCAGCGAGAGAGGCATGCGTCCTGCCATCCTGAGGTATCCAGAGATGGCTGAAGTGGCCGCCGACAGAGCCGTAATCTTATGGAGCGAGCACCCTCCATGCGCAACTTGAGCCGCGCTAACGGAATCAAAACAGATCCCGGTCACGCAGTGCATGTTGGCAGCAAGACACAAGCCCACAAACTGAGCAAAGAGTTCGGGTTCAAAGGCGGAATGAACCGGCAGACTCTGGTGACACTTCTCAGTGAAGTGACCCGCCCATCCCCAAGTACCACCTTCGCAGCTAAAACAGGCCACCGACCATCCTCCTTGTCCGTCCTTGAAGGAGCCGTCTAAATAGATCTGCACAGCAGTGGTGGAAGCCGAGAAAGGCTGGGCTGGAAGGCACTCAAGCATGGTAACAGCTGCTGGGTGTAGCTTCACCTCCCGCGGAACATTGAGCTGGAGCGCGGCGGGGTGGAACACCTGAAAGACCTCGGAGGGAAGCTCGGCCGGTACTGGAAAGCAGAGTGCGGCCTCACCCCGGTCAGCCAAAGACTTATCGGGCTCAGCGTGGGGGCATCTCGTAGGCATCAAGAGGTCCTCCAAGATTAAAGTGGTAGCTGAGTGCCGTGCTAAGCCTTTAGGTGCACAAACAGTGCTGTCAACATGCAAACGGCGGCGGCCAAAAGGGGTGGGTATCACCGCTCCACCCTGCTTGAACACGGCCACACGAGGCTGCACCTTCGCGTGTATTTGCAACAGAGAGTGCCCCTGCTCTTCCGGCTCCGGGGGCTCAGCAGGGTGCCTAGGAGGCGGAGCCGCATCGTGGGATGGACGAGAGCCAGTTTCCCCGCCCT